GGCGAGCCTGCTGATGTGAGGCTCCTGACAAGGACGTGCCTTGGGCGACGAGCTGCTCCCTGAATTTTCCCTGGTGTGGGGAGGGTTCTGAGGCTTCCTGGCCTTCTTTCCAGCCGCAGAGCAGCATCATCGCTGCTCAACCGGGAATCTGGTGGAAGACTCGGGACCTACTTCCAAGGCTCTGGTCCAGGCTCGGAAGGGAGCTTGGCCACTCCACAGCGGTGGTGAGGCTGACAATGGGCTTTTGAAACCAAGTAACGACAGTTCCGGGTTTATACGGTTCCCCTGCCAAACTGGCCTTTGAAGTCCACGTGTGGGAGATTTCACAATGGACTTGGCTGAAGAATTCGGGGACGGTCCGGCCTTGACACTTTCCTCTGAGCCTGCAGTCTACGGCCGGCCCTTCTCTGCAGGCTGCTGGGAACAGGGCTGAGCGGGCCACCTGGGCCTCCTGCGGCACTCTGAGCACCCAGCAGCCTGTTCTCCCCCCTTGAGTTCTGCACATGCTCTGGAATTGCCATAATCTGCTGGGTGCTGCCCCTCAGGAGGAACAAGTAATTAAAGGCAGAAGCTTGCATCATGAAGCTTTCATTCTGTGCACCCCATGTCATCCTCAACGGCACTCGGAAGGAGGTGCTATTACTAGGCCCATTTTACAGATGAGGAAACCGAGGCACAGATCAGTCAACCTGAGGCCAAGCTAGGACTGGTGTGGACAGAGCTGGGAGGCAAGGTGGATCACTCTGGCAGGGGGACCCTGAGGCCAGGACTGGGGTACAGTCATGTCCAGTCTTGTTGATGTTGGTACTCCAGGGTCTGAGGTGGGGGAAGATTCAGGGGTAGTGTTTTTCTGGAGGTCCCTACTGGACATTGTGGGCTGCTGGGCAGAGACCAGCCCCAAGAAAGTGATGCAGCACTCCCTCAGCTCCCTGCTTGCCAGACAGGAACCCCGTGTCCGGCTCTGGTAACCAGAAGCAGGAGCTGGTGTCCAGGGGCCACAGAAATGAGGGGGCAGACTGAAGGGGGCCTCTTGTGGGCACCCTCTTCTAAGACTCACCAGATGCCAGGTAAGTCAAGACTGGCTGTTCCCTGACAGCACTTGCTGGTGGGGGGGGTTCCCTATGTTCCTCGGGGTCTGCTCCCACTGAGGCTGTGGGGACATTGTGCAGCTGTGTGGGCCGGCCTGGACCTGCATAGGCCCCCAGTCCACAGACCCCTCACACCAGGTGACTTAGCCCGTCCAGGAGCCCCATGCAGGGGGGATGTGTGGAAGCAGTGATCTTGGGAGGACTTGCAAGAAAATTGCTCCGATCTGAATGTTCACATCTTCTGCCTTCAATGCCAGGACCCTAACCCCCAAGGCAGTGCTGTGAGGAGGTGGGGACTTTGGAAGGTGGTCAGGTCAGGAAGGTAGGGCCCCATGAAAGGGATTAGTGCCCTTATAAGAGGGACCCAGCGTCCCCTGTCCCTGTGAGAGCACAGCAAGCAGGTGCTGACTGCGAGCCAGGAGGGGACCCCAGCAGGCTCCTGAGTCAGGACTTCCAGCCTCCACGACTGAGGAATACACTGTGGTTGCTAATAGGCTCCCCAGCCTGAGGTATTTTTGTTACAGAAGCCTGACAGAACCAAGTCAGAAGTGGTGGGGGGGCACATCTCTGGAGAGAGCTGCCCGCCTGGCCCTGGGTGCCCCGCCTGGTACAGGGACGTGGGGCACAGCATCGATACCCACTTGTGGGGCAGACAGTATGTGAGACTGTTTCCAGGCTCGCTTCATCCCTGGGTGTGCAACGCTACCCCCTGAAGTCCCAGCATCTACAAAACACCAGCAGCTCCCCCAGCCTCCACCCCAAGAAACTGGGTGAATCCACAAGGGCTGAATTTACATAGGTGCTCACGCCTTGAAAGCCGGCATTCACAGCCAGGAACCAAGTAACTCGTGCAAACCTCCCACTGAAGGACATCCAGGACCTCACAGCTTGGAAATAGTGGAGTGATGCTGCCCCGAGATGCACAACGCCACGCCTCGGTGACCCTTGTGCACGCCGTGTGCCCTGGGACTTCTACCCAAGAGCCTCTTTCAGCCACACGCTCCATCAGCAATGCTTCATCCAAGTCTGGTTTGGTCTTTTTCCTCCTGGGCTTGCTGCCCATCCAAACACTCTCAGCAGGACCCGCAGGCTCCATCCATGAGAACAACAGAGCATTCTTTCAGGAGCAGAAAATGCAAATAAACAACTCGCTGTCTTTGCACAGCCCCAAGATGGACCCTCGCTTTGGCAGCCTGTGCTTCACTGCCTTCTGGGGGCTCCAGGGGGGCTGTGCACACAGGCAGGGTTAGGGGCTGGGAGGGGCTCTGATAAGGGAAACAAGACTCAAATAAGGGGAAACCCATGTGGGATTCAAACAGAAGCTTGGTGACTGACATCAGTGTGCGCACCTTTTTCTCTAAAGTGAGAACCTTCAGCAGCTGTGTGCCCTTCATGCCCAAGAAGACAGATTGAAGGCATTTGTGTTCCTGGAGCAAGAAAAGATGTGTTTCTTAGATATGAGCAATAGAGGTAATGGGAACACCCTATGCCGGCAGCCAGGACAATAGTTAAGGATTTAAGGATTCCCCGATGAGCTGGGATTCTTTTTAATTAGAACAACATCTTCATGAAGTTAGGCAAAGATCCTGTTGTGACTTCTTTCATGACCTAGAAGAGATTTCTCTCTAATCACACATTCAAAATCATTGTCCCCCACTTGTCAGCCTCTCCCAATACCCCACGTTATGTTGGAGATCTCCAGTACCTAGATATCCTGAGGGATTTCAGCTGCTGCCCAAAGCATCCCAGCCCACCCATATGACACCCCTCTTGAGTGATCCCTTCTCTCCCACCATCCGGGGGTCAGTGTAAAAGAAACTCATTTGAAATTGGCCAAAACAGTGGGTGAAAAGAGGTTGTTACTCTGACTCACCATCACTCTCCTCCCTCCATTGCATGGAAACAGTGTTTTGCACCAGTTCTGTCTGTGGTTGTCAGGTTGTGTGACCTTTCCCTGCTGTGAGGACACACATACTGATGTTTTCAGCAACACTATTCACGATAGCTCAACTGAGGCTCTCCAACAGATCAATGGCTGAACAGAATGTGGTATATCCATACAAAGGAACATTATTCAACCGTAACAAGGAACGAAACGCTGCAGAATGGATGCACATGATGGATGAGACTTGAAGGCATGATGCTACTGAAAGAAGCAGTCACAAAATTAATTCAATATAAATTCCATTTATAGGAATTATCCAGAATAGGTGAATGCAAACAGACAGAAAGCAGATTGGTGGTTGCCAGGGGCTGGAGGAAGAAATGTGAAATGTCTGCTTATGGTAGAGGGTTTTATTTTCAGGTGCTGTGTGTTCTGGAACTAGATAGAGATGGTGGGCATGCATCATTGTGAATGTGTCAAATACCACTGAATTATACACTGTAAACTTTCAACCCTATTATAAACTAATATTTGTGTTCCCTCAAAATTTCTATGATAAATCCCAATGCCCAGTATGATGGTATTTGGAGGTTATTAGGTCATTAGGGGGAAACCCTCATGAATGGGATTAGTGCCCTCATAAAAGGGACCCCAGAGAGCTCCCTCACCTTCTCTCATGTGAGGACCCAGCAAAAAGATGGCCCTCAATGACCCACGTAGCCAGTCCTCAACAGACATCAAATCTACTGGCACCTTCCCACTAGATACTGAGAAATAAATTTCTGTGCCACCCAGCCTATGATTTTTTATTACAGCAGTGCAAATGAGCTAAGACAAACTGAATAAAAACCAAGAAAACTGCAGACTTGTCCCCAATATGGACAATTGGGCTGGTTGATGAAAGACAGACCTCTCGATCCACACCCCAAAGTTCCTGCGGTGAGACTTGGCCACCAACCCTTAACCTGCCAGTCTTCAGCGCTTACATTTACATACCCTGTTTGCAGAGTTGATGCAATGATGCAGTAAGATAAGGCAAGGAGAGCTCCTTCAGAGCAGGCATAGGACACAGACATAACACACCATCGTTTTTTATATCTAAGTCCCCCTGTGACAAAAAAAGAAAAAAGATCTTTCTTGTTCTACTTCATAACTGTAAGCTTCCTGGCCACCAGGGGGAGCCTCCTAAAGGACGCCATCCATCACCCTTCTCCCATCAGGAATCTGTTTCCTTAACTCTTTTTCCTTCTTTACCTACCCTTTCCCCCAGGAGGACTGCTTCTCTGCAGTGATTTGACAGGTAATTCCACTTGCTCCTTGGCCACAGGCCTGCTGGGTAATCCGCCAGAAGCGGCAAAGTTTTAGACTTTAAATCAGGACGTGGTAAGCTCTTGCTTTAAAGGGCAAGAGAATAAATGTTTCCAGTTTTTAGGAGCACATCTGATTCTAGTTCTGACTTGATTACGAAATCAGGTAAAAGCCGGCTGCCTGTTTCTGTAAAGCCATGAGCTAAGAACGGTTTTTACATTTGAAATGATTGATAAAAACAAGAGACATATAGGACATGTCAAAATGAAATCACATTCATATCTCTGGGTCCATAAATTAAAGTTTTATTGGTGCACAGCCACATTCATTCATTATGTTTTAGCGACGGCTGCTTTTCAGGTACAGTAGCAGAGCTGAGTAGTTTCGGCGTCACTCACAATGTCTGAAGTGTTTATGCTCTTGCCCTAAGAAAAAATTTGCCACATAGTGCTCTCAATAAATGATGTAAATGATTAAAATCCACCCCAGTCAACGCACAGGGATGAGCATGGGATTGCCATCCTGCACGTCACTAGCACTTTCTGATACAGCGGGATTTTCAGTGTACGCGGTGACGGCACTTTCTCATGCGCCGTCGTGGGATGAACTGACTGACTTCATGACACGCAGCGAGAACAGTGCCTGGGCTCAATGAATGTGAACTCTAATTATGTTAACGTCTGGGCATGAATTTAAATAAACACAGAAAATAGGCTTCTTCCCTCTGAATTTATTTTAAAACGTGCTGTAAACAGTTTCAAATGTCCTTTTCATAATAAATCTCTGGCTTCACCAGTATTGGATGTCATGACAAATTCTCCTTCATAGAAGGTACAAGTGAAACAGAAACAGAGAGGCATTTGGGATCCTTCCCTCTTGAGAAAGTGTGAAGCCATCAAGATGCATCTGGTTTTCAGTAGAATTGGCCTATGTTTCTTGGGAGCGAAGTGTCCAAGCCACTGTTCATCCATATTTCCTGGATGATTTGCTCCCTGCGCTCAATCCTTTCTGCTAGCTCTGCAGCTTCAATGGAATTGTAGACAGGATAGGAAGTCCTACAGAACCCCGACAGTTCCCCTGGTAAATCAGAGTCAGAGGAGTCCTCTTCCCCCTCTTCATCTTCACTATCCTCCTGGGCCTTGTCACTTTCTGGCACCAGGTGCTCCCGCACTAGCTGCAGATCCTGGAAATCCTTGGTGCAGGACACTCGGATGACCAAGGCACACAATGTGAGTGCCAGCCCGATGCAGACACTGGACACAAACAGCAGGGCAGCTCTCTCCGGGTGGGCTATGGAAGCAAGAGAACAAGTCAGGAGCCATCGGTCTGCACCCATGCAAATCCCACAGAAATAGGCAGCATCTTTGAGACTGTCCACACTTAACTGGTCATATAAACCTCCCCCCTCCTCCAGCCCCCACCGACACACAGACATTGATTTAAACAAATAAAGGTTTTGAGCATATATGGTCAATATATGCATATGAGAGGACACATAGCAGAGGAGCTCGGAAGCTAGATCTCTGAGTTCAAACTCAGACCTGCCATTTACTAGCTCTGTGACTCCAGGTAAGTTACACAACCTCTCTGTGCCCACTTGCCTCAACAGGAAGCTAAGAGTAGCTTCCTGTTACAGAATTGTTATGACCAGATGAGTTAACTCCTGTACAACCCTCAGAACATTCACTGGCACATAGCAAATGCTCAATAAACTATTAGCTATTAGTTGTAGTAGAGTATGCAAAATTAATGTAGAAATAAAAATGCATATGAGTATGAATGTAAGTACTAATAGAGTAGATGTTGGCCAAACTTAATTTCTTTTTTTTTTTTTTTTTTTAATAGAGGCATGTTTTATTTATTTATTTATTTGTTTGTTTTGTTTTGTTTATACATGCACTGGGTACAGTCAGAAGCGCGGGAGGGTGAGAGAATTCACCAGAGCCAGAGCGGGGAGCAGAGCAGGCAGAAGGACCGAAGTACACTGCTGAGGGGAGCAGCGGGCGGCAGGAGAGGTCTGCGCGCCATGTGGGACCCTCCTCCGGTGGCCGGGGAGCAGCCGGGGATCGAACCGGCGCCGCAGAGGCCGCGGGCAGCTTCGCAACCCAGCGCTCAACCGCTGTGCCACCGGGGAGGCCCAAATTAAAAAATACATATAAATAAAAGTTCTGGCAGTTTTCCCTACAGCCAAATGATTATATAATGATAATAGAACTAGAAATGATGCTGATTTGGTTTTGTTTTTAAAGATTTATTTATTTATGCATACAAGACCTGGGGTACAGGCCAGAGGTGTAGTGGGTGAGAGGATCCACCAGAGACAGAGCAGGGAACAGAACAGGCAGATTGACCCAAGTACACTGCTGAGGGGAGCAGCGGGCGAGACAGGAGAGGTCTGCTGCGCCATGTGGGTAGCTCTCTGGCCGGCCGGGGAACGAACTCGTGCTGCAGAGACTGCAGACAGTTTCATAGGTTGCGTCTTAACCCCTTGTGCCACCAGGGAGGCCCAAAATGATGCTGATTCGTACTGTGTAGGCTGGTCTAGATCCTTACATATATTTAATCCTTACATTACTCCCAGGCAGAAAGAACAATGTGCCATTTTTTAGCTGTGTACCCCTTGAGGTGTTAGCACTTTCCAGGGAGCCATGACTGTGAGCTACTTGTAGGGACCACGTGTGGGGATCCACAGCATCGGCTCAGCACCTCTCAACTGAAGGCACCCCCTCCAGGCTCATCGCCTCCACATTCACTGCCCTGGAATAAAGAAGACTCTGTCTTCGCTGCCTCTGTCCTTCCCCAGAGATCCAGACTGGACTTTCGAAGTTCCAGGCGTTAAGTTAAAGTTCACGTGCAGCCGAGGCGCCCAGCCGCGGCCATCTGGCGGGACAGAGCTAAGAAGGACGAGTCATGGTCTTGAAAACTGAGCCTCCCCACTCAACTGTCTTCACTCGCAGCTCAAGTCCTCTGTGGGGTCACCGTCCCCGACATGGTGTCCTTTGTGGCTGCGGCCCCCGCTGGACGACGGCCTCGCTCTCCTTAAGACACAGAAGAGTCTTCACTCAAGACGGATGTAGCCAGGGTGGGCAGTGAGTTGGCTGCAGGCTACTAAGAGCCACATACTGTTGCCAAGGTCAAGGTATTGTGCAGAGCTGGTGGAACAGAGACGTGTGGCCTCTGGAGAGAAGAGACGGCTAGTTTCTCTTCTGGGAGTGGCTGGGGACTGGGAGACACTGCGATGTGGGATGAAATCATTAAGCCTTCAGACCTGACGATGCTGATGAGCTCTGACGGGCCAGCCCTCCCCCCTGCTCCCCCAGCACATCGAAGCCTCTGCTGGGAGTGGCTCCTGCCCTGACTTGGCTCTAAACACCCTCGCCCCTCCCCCTGCTGCACCCCATCCCCACCCGCCCCCCCAGCTGCTGAGCACGCCAGTCCATCCTACCCGCGTGCAGTCGCATCCACCCCTCCTACTCCGTGGAAAGCATAACTCTGAGCCCCGTCAGCAGCCATGCCTGCAGCTCTCACCTCCGTCAGCCCCAGTGAGGAGCACGGTGGGTGGGGAAACTGAGTCCACCCATTTGTGACCTTTCCAAGTTCTACAGTCAGGACATGGCCAGAACAGACAAGCATTCCATGCTGCTTGCGCTTCTGGAAAACAATTCTCACCTCCTCCTCCCCTCTCCTGAGAGGCTGTTGGTGGGGGGGAGCAGGTGAACTGTCCTTTCTGAGAGGAGGGTTCAAGATCTGGCTTTGCCCCAGGCAGGTGGGTTAAAGAACCTTTTCTTCCTGCCTTTCTTTTGAGTACAAAACAGTATCTTACTAGGGTCTTGAATTGTGTTTCTCTGGCCCCAAATCTTTGTATCTCCTCAGGCGGCTTCTCATTCCCTCCTCTCAAAATGCCTCTGGGGTCACCTGCCCCCTTCTGCTTTCACTTTCATTAAGTGTCACTTGATCTAGTGAATTTATCTGAAAAGCAGGGACGATAACACTCTTTTCTCCATCTCCCCAGTGTGGCTATTGTAATTGTTTTTAAAATGCACATGAATTGGATCCCATTCCTGTCCCACTTCATATCTATAACTGGTCCCCCCACCTTCGTAAGCTACAAAGGACACGCTGACCCTGGCCCCACCACCCTCCCCAGTTTACCTCCAAACCCTCGTCCCTTTCTATCTCACTGTCCTCACAGGGGCCAGATGACTCTGCACCTCGGTGCTTTTGCACATGCTGATCCTTCTCCCTGGAAGGTTCTTTCTTCCCTCTTGATCCAGCCGTTGTGTGCTCTACCCTCAGCCAAGGAGGCCTGGTCCCCATCACCCCATCACTGGGACATTCTCAGTCACACCCTATAGAATGCAAACTCCACGCAGGCAGGGCCTGACCTGTCTGGTTCTCTGCCGAACCCCAGTGCCAAAGAGCAAGCATGACATAAGACGTTCCAGTGCAGGCAAAGGGCGCGGTCATGGACCAAAAAGCCAGGCTCAGTGCGCTGTGGGTGGGGACTCCATGATGTCAATTGCATTTTCCTCTCCCCACTTCCCCCAGCAGGTGAAGGTCTGGATTCTCTTGCTATCAGCTCTTACTCATCAGACACAGTGCCTCTTGGCTCAGGCATGCCCCCTGCCCTCCCGCCATTGGCATTGATGATGGATCCCTGTGGTCCTGAACGCATGCCTGATGACGGACCCCTGGAGTGGGGTGTGGGCATGCATAGGTGGGTGCACCTGGACTGAGAGACTGGGCTTATAAAAGTGGCATCATGGGGAACCGGCGTAAAAGAGCAGGAGGAGAGAATAGAGAGAGAGGCATGTGCATGTCAAGGCCATTAGATCCCGCCATCAAGGACCGAGAACACAGGCAACTTTGGGGAGCCCATGGGCACAAGGTTCCCTTGTCACTCACACCGACTCTTCTGAAGTCACAGAGTTGCCAGATGTCAATTAGATGGAACCTTGGGGTGAGCAGCCATTTCACTGAGCCCAAGCATCACGTGGCTGGACCCAGCCCACCCGTGCACTCTGCAGCTGCCCCTATAAGGGCACCCATCTGTCTTCTAGAATCATCTGGGCTACATGAGGCATTTGTGACCCTTTATTCTATTTTATATTCTGAAAAAATAAAAGGGTCATTCTTCTTAAGGGTCAACAGGCCCTTCACACTAAATTGTTGTGGTATTGTTCTAAATTTAGCCTTGTTCATCACAGGCCAGCGGAAGGACTTTAATTTCAGTCCTCAGGAATCGCACAAAGGTGGCCATGGCTTCAGGCCCCTGGAGCCGCTGACACAAACAAGGCGAGAGGGGGTTCCGTGGTGGGGGCAGCATCAGGGGGAGTGTGGGACAGGGCCCGGGCTGACAGCACTCAGTGTGACTGTAACTTTGGGTCATGGACCTCAGACTGGAGACCGTGGGAACACATCAGAAGCCACACCTTGGTGACAAGGCAGCGCTGATTTCTAATCGTCCTCCCTGGCAGGATCGTGTGACTGACTCTGGAATGTGTTACGCGTCTGTCTCAGTGTGGGTTTGTCTGATAGCCTAGAGTTCTCTTCATATAAGACAGTGATGCCTCCCCAACTCTGCTTGCTCACCCAGGGCCCTGGTTACCCCGCATACCCTGAAAGTCCACAGCAAGGGAGATGAAGACTTGTGTGTGCCAAGTGGTAGGGGCAGGGGCAGCAATGTTAGGCCAGAGAGGCATGTCTGTGTGAATAAGACACTAAGTTGGAAGGGGACAGTCAGACGAGCGAGACTCCTCAGGCATGGACTGCTGGGGCACATGGCCCTCACTGAGTAGCTACACACCACCTCTGGGAATCTCCAACACCCCCACACACACCCCACACACATACACATGCCACCCTTCACCACACACCTCACTACATACCACCCCCCCACATCATGCCCTCATACCACCCTACTCCACACACCCCCCACATCACACATACACTCCTCACACACACTAACATACCACACACATAACTCATACACACACCCCATACACACACTCCTCTCACACACACACACCATTTCCATTTCTCTAATTTCAAACTTTTCTATGAGCTTCTTCGGGCCCATGATCTAAATTCTAGAACAAATTCAAGAAGTCTGTATTATTGAGACGAGGGTAAATGCAAATCCTCCTAAGACTTTGTAGGTCGTTTGATGAGAAAACTCATCCGGGACCCTTGGGCCTTCCCATGTCTGTTCGCTGATGTCTGTTGTCAACATTCACAACTCCTGATGTCAGTCTCCCTCTCCCTCATGTGCACATGGCTGCATCAGGGCCACCTGAGGCCGGCCTGGGGAAATGTCCCTCTGGAGTCACTCAGTCGACTATTTGCTGCTGCTACGGCCGCCTCTCCTCCAGAGGGCTTCCCCATGGTGACTTCTGGAGATAAATGCAACTAAACATCCTTCAATAAAACCAAATAACAGCCCATCAAATCCTTAAATTTCTTTAAAACTGAATACCTATAAATAGTAACCACGGGTGCTAACAAGGGGAGGGCAGCTCACGTGGACTCGCCACGTGGCCATGCGATACAGCCACCCCCTGATACAACCACTGAGGCCGGCCGCACTGTCCCAGGCACCGGGGCGTGCCAGTAATTGAGACGACAAACTCCTGCCAGGAGGTGCGTAACAACGAGTGGAGAGGGCGGCACTAAGTGCATCCATCCCTCCTTTGGTTTCTGGGTGTGAGGGGCAGACGGGGTGGAGCAGGAGCTAATACAGACAACTGGAGGTGAAGAGGTTCCCGATCCTCAAGATTCTAGCGGGTTTACTTCTTGCCTGGAGAAAGCCAAGCGCAGGTCTTGGGCCTGCTGAGTTGAGTTCTGGCCCTGCCGCTGGCCAAGCTGTGTCCATAGAAACAGCTCAGCAACTCTGACACTCGCTTCCCTACATGCAGAATGGGGGATCAGCACCCCTTCTCTTAGCTTTGTAGTTATGGACTGACTTGTGCTCCCCAAAATTCATATGTGGAAGCCCTGATGCCCAACATGGCTGTCTCTGGAGCTGGAACTGTAAGGAGGTGTAGGGTAAGTGATTCTCAGGCTTTCTGCCCTCCCGCCATTGGCACTGATGATGGATCCCTGCGGTCCTGAACGCATGCCTGATGACGGGCACCTGGAGTGGGGCGTGGGCATGCGCAGGTGGGTGCACCTGGGCTGAGAGACTGGGCTCATAAAAGCGGCATCACGGGCAACCAGCATAAGAGAGCAGGAGGAGAGAATAGAGAGAGGCAGAACGAGAGAACAAGACCACCAGAGAGCTCATAAAGGATGAAGATTCGCCCAGGGCTGGGAGGCCTGCCAGCCTCTGGGCCCCTCAGCACCCCTGCCTGCCGTGCACCTGGTCAAAGCTCAATAATAGCCTGAAAAGCCACCGAGGGCTCTAGGACTCTCCTTTACCCATCTGCTCGGGTCATAGAAAACCTGTTTTGTGCCTTCCTGCCCCTACAGGAGGTAATTGAGGTGAAGGGGGTCAGCGTGGGACCCCAAGCAATAAGGCTAGTGTTCTTGGAAGGAGACACACCAGGGAGCTTCCTCTCTCTCCCTTTCTGCCACAGGAGGGCAAAGGGAGAAGGTAGTTGTCCACACGCCAAGAAGGGAGCTCTCCCCAGACTCCTGATCCACCAGCACTTTGACTTTGAACTTGCAGCCTGCAGAACTGTGGGCCAAAAAGTTTCTGTTCTTGAAGCCGCGCTGAATACGCTAACTCATCACGGCGGCCAAGCTGACCGACAGCTGTTGCGAGGGAGGGACAAGGCCCTTGAGGCCGCAGCCTCGGTAAGTGATTCATCCTCACTCCTCTTTGATGGTTATTCTGCTTGAAGACTTCTCAGAGCTTTCCGCCAACGGGCTTTCTAGGGACCTTGAAAATAGGGGCATGCTTTTGACTGTAAGAATCCTTCCATTTTTTAACATCAACAGTTACCATAAACAGCAAGAAATAGAAATGAGAGGGGCTAGAAAAGAGGCGATTCTCAGAGAAAACTAATCACCACACAGCAGAGACGCAGAGGGAGGTGGGAAGGCTGTCCTCTCTGTCTCCGGTGTCCAGATATCTCCTTAAACCTTTATTTTCCCTGGAGGAAGGCTGACTCCCTAAGACCCCAGCTCCTGTCAGCCTCGGGGAGTCACACTGTATTGCTTTATTAACGTGCACTTCACAGAAGGTCTCGGGGTGCTGTTTTCCCTGAACAGCCAGGGAGGCACTGCTGAAACTTGCAGGGTCGACATTCCAAAAATTCGGTCTCTCGCCGGTGCGCAGAGGGTGGTGAGCACAGATGGCAGGCATCAGCGCCTCAGGATGAGCCATTCGGGCTCCGCTAATTAAGAGGGTTGAGGCTGATGGACCCTGGAGGGGAAGATTATCCAGAGAAACCTTGGCAACCTGGCAAGTAACAATGGTGACTCAGAAAGGGACTCTGCCTTCGCAGGGCATGACCTGCTTGTTGACTAAATGATCTTCTGGTTCAATTTTCTTCCAGCCAGGGTGGAATTCAAGAATCCTGTGCCCTTCCCAGATTTTAGAGCTGGGAAGTACATTTCTCAGGTTCCTACTTTTACCGCGAGCCCAACTCCTACAATGCTTGACTTGGAGGGTTTGCTGCCTCCCTTGATGGTTCTGCTGGGGTGGCTCCCCGGTCGGCAGTCTGGTGGGGATTGGAACAGAATTCAGACCTCTGTGTTTCCAGATCTTAGACGCTGTAGTTGCCATGTCAAATGTAAAATCACCTTCTTTATCTTCCTGAGTGCATTTGTTAGTAAGATTTTAGTTAGCCCATAGCATTGTAAGAAGCTTTGATTCATGAACTTACCTCTGATGTAGGCAAAGGCTGCCAGAGAGTTGCTAACAATGACTCCATCTTTCCTCGGAACATGTGGTCTGCTTGGGTCAAAGTTTATAACTGTTTCATTAAAAAAAAAAAAAAAATGCAAGACCAATTAATCACAGCTCTTCACAGGAGCCTTTCGCTCCTAAACCAGGATTGCCATAATAAATAAAAAGCCATGGAAATCAAACAAATGGGTTGTTACAGAAGACTAGGCCAGGAAGGACCTATAGTAAGTCATCCCTGAAACTATTAGGTGATGAAAAGGATTTAGAAATACTAAAACTTGTTGGTTGCAACAACTTAAGGTGCCCTTCATCCATCCTACTGCAGAAGGGAACACATGTATGTTCCCATCCTAAAGGCGATGGTTTCCATCGTGCTTAGCAAGGTCTCACTTAACCACAGGGCTACTTTGCTCTGGTGACCACAAATAAGACATTATGGAGAGAGGTTGTGCTGGGCTACTTCTGGGGCAATAGCAGCCAAGCACAGCACAGATCTGGTTTCAGATACCTGCTTCAGCTGCTGTGCTGGAGCTTAGCAAGCTCCTGATGGGGCAGCCAGGGGTTCAGGGAGCCCCTGGGAAGGTCAGAAGGGGCAGAGTCTCAGGTCTCCACTCCAGGGGGACCAGGATATCCACGGATGGGGGCAGGAGGAACCCTGGGAGAAAGAAAAGTGGGTCTGAAATGGTCAGAGGTGGAAGGTGGAGCAGTGAGCTAGAAGAATGTACTTTAAGGATGACAGTTTCCATCAAGCCTGGGGATTTCTATTTCCTGGTGCTTTCCTGTGTTTGACTGATCAAGCATACTTGACTTTTATACTGAGAGGGAAAGATCTCATAAAGTAATACAAGCAACACAAAATCAAACTCTCCCCACCCAAAGTGCATTTTCTGAGATAGATGCTTGTTAGGGCCTCTGCGATTTCTATCAAAACCCCCAGTGGTCTGAATGTCATTCGAGATTTGATAAAAAGAAAAAAGAACCTAAAGCTTCCTGCCCCCTATTTACAAAAGTCCAGTAAAAATCCAAGGAAAACGGTGCCAGGAGGTCATCACATTATCCAGGAACCCCGAATTTATTTCCTAGCAGATCTCTTTTTTGAAGTGATTTCTCTTTTAGGAAGCAAGAGAGAAACGGAAGGAGGATTCACTCTTCTTATAATTAAAATTCAGAACAAAATGTTGGCCCAGCTCTGGGACCCCTGGTCACGCATAAGATGGGAGCTCAGAGCTCCAACCCCACCCCCTTGATTCTAACCAAAGTGCACCCCACTGAGATCATTCACTGGGGTCACTGACCTTTCCTTAAAGAGAAATGCTGGTAGTAAACCATAAAAATTACCATGTTCACCATCTTTCTCCTTCAAAGAAGGTTTTACACTATTAGCAATGGCTGGATCGATCGCCGTGAGAATGTTCTTGGGAACTAAAAGCCAAAAAGAAAGGTTTTTAAATGCTTTATCCACTTAATAAAAAGTACAATGCTAAATGTAGGTGAGATAAATCAATTTTCAAATCAGTCACGAGTCACTCCCTCTGGTTGCCAGATACACCCACCTGTATGAGCACCCAATTACCCAGCAGTGTACAATTTTAGGCCCATTTTGCAGGATTAAAAAAAACATGGACAGACATCAAATCAACAAGACCTGGTGTGTCCAGGCACTAAATACAATTGTACTAAAAACAATTTAGTAATTAAAAGGAGCAAAAGACTGTACATGTTCCAAGAGGGTGAACTTCAAACACATTACACTCAGTTGAATAAGCCCATCACCAAAGATCATTCCGTGCATGATTCACCTCCATGAAATAATCAGGAAAGTTACTATTGAGAGACAGAAGGCAGATTTGGGGCAACCTAAAACCAGGGTGAGAATGGGCACAAAGGAACTTGGGGGAATCAAAGAAGTGTTTTAAAACGGGTGTGTGGTGATGGTCTTCCAGCTGTGGAAATTCACTAGAAATCGCTGGACTGTTTATACTCTAAACAGGTGAATTTTAAGATATGTAAGTCACGCTCAGTCGTGCTGCTAACCCTGAATGTGAACCCCCCAGGGATGGTGGAAAGATCGACTGTCACCAACTCAAGTCATTCGAGTTGAGAGCAGGCCGGCCCCTCCCAGTGCCGTTCTGCTTTTTACCCAGAGTATTTTGCCTCACTGACCCCGTGATAAGCTGCAGAGAATTCTAGGACTCTGTCTAGAGTTATCCTCTCAGTTTTATTAGAAAGGATTATGGAAAGATGAGACGAGCAGGGCAGCACGATAGGCTTTTCTGAAAGGTGGTGAAAGATTCTGTGGGGCAGACGCAAGAATAAGCCATCAGGGTCCAGGGAGGGGGGCACCGAGGACGGCGTGAGCACAGCAGACAGCAGAGCAAGACTTCTGCGGCCCCAGTGCATGTGGTCCGCTGGGAGGAGGGAGAGGAAAGCAAATATTTTTGCTGCAGCAAACTGCTCGTTTTGTTTGTTCTCTAGCTCAGCTGGTATCTGGGAGAAGTGGCAACAGGAAATGGAAGTCAGGCCAAAGCAAACCATGCAAGGTCAACCGCACCAATCAAAAAAAAAAAAAAAAGCCAGTAAGACTCTTGAGCACAGCAAACCTCATTTCCCTTCTCTGAGTGCTGAACTAAATCATTCAGGGGATGTCCCAGGACCGAGAGCCAGGGAACATTCCTAACTTGTGAGTTTTCCACGTGCTGGAGACTTGGGCACCACCAGCCGGAAGGGTCACTGCATCAGGGTGGCTCTGGTAGAGGGGGCGGCCGTGTCCAGGGCCCCACCCCACCCCCAGGGGTTGACCCAGAGTATGACAGCCCCCCAGGAAGCCTAGCCATTCTGCTGCACATGCTTTCTGATGCCACAGCTTCCCCATCACTTCTGCATTCAAGGAGGATGAAGAGGAGGCCCCAATTCCTGGGCAGGAGTTAAGCCTCGCTACCAGGAGAGATGCTCCTTCCTCAAGTCCATCTCTTTGCTTGTCTTCAAGATTGGGCCTGTGTCTCTGCACATGCAGAGAGCTAACAGATGGAGAAAGGAAGCTGGCAGGGAAGGGCTGTGGGGACAGCGTTGCCTGAGAGTGGCACGCAGGATCAAACTGTCTGCACCTGATGCCGGCTCACGCCAGGAAACACGCCCATTTATTCCCTACCTGAAAATGGCTCTGCTATCGGGAGAGTCTTTCGGGACCTTGAAGATGGCAACCGGTATCCACGCCCCTGGCAGGTTCTTGTAGCTCCTTGTTTCAAACTGATTCGGGGAGTGAGGTGCCATTTATAAGCATCCCACAAACCCATCCCTCTCCAAGAGAGACACCTGCGAAAACCATCCCCAGCCCCTATTCCTGGAGAAGCTCCTAAGCCTGGGCCTGGGCCTGCCTGGAGCGAGGCTCAAGGTGACCGTGGAGGACAGAGCGACTCCCACCCAGCACACAGAAGACGGAGCCTCTGAGGGACAGCCCCAGAAGAGCCAGAGGCCAACCAGCTCCTGTGGAGCCCCGGGCCTTTAGGAACTGGATAAAGGATTCTGCTATGGGGTCATACTAACGCCAGAGACCTTGCTCGGAGACGCCTCTCCAGTCTGCGCAGAGTGGCAAATCTGAGGGACTTCAGCGGCCATTACACTTAGGCAAGGTCACCTTGAATTATTTTTTCCTGAATAAATTATTTTTTCCTGAATAAATCAGGAAGAGGGGATGGGGGAGGCCGAGGAGCAGGGAAGAAAAGGGAGGGGGAAGCCAGAGCAGGAGGCCTCCAGCCAGAGCCTTCCGCACAGACTTTAAGGAACCTCAGACGCTGGAGCCTGCATGGGCTGGTGGTGGACGCACTGTGGGGGTAACAGCTGATGGGGTCACCCCAATGTTACCTCAGTTAAAAATCAAGTAATTTTAAAAAGAAACAAATGGGCTCAGTAAAACAAAAATAAATACGTGGACACTGAGATCAAACTAGTGGTCCCCAAAAGGGGAGGGAAGGAGGGTAAATCGGGTAAAAGGGGTCAAGTGTAAGGTGAAGGGCAGACCTGGGCTCAGAGGGGTGAACTCCAGGCAGTAAATATACGCGGTGAGTCACAGGGATGCACCCCGGAAGCCTCCATCATGTTCCATGCAGCGTTACTGCAATGTAAAAGTACTAATTCTGCTCAAGTCTGAGGCTCCGGAAGATGCACTAGAGAAGGAGCAGAGTGAAACCCCAGCGGAGCCCTGGATGGCTGCACCCCGGCTCTCACCACCATGCTGAGCAGGAAAGCAAAGGGCTGCAGCCTGAATCATTCCCCTGAGGGAAGCAAAGATGCTGAAAAGCTCAGCCCAGCCTAGAGGCTTCCAGAAGGAACACAGCCCAGATTAAAGGCAGCTCTATAAAATAGGGAGTGTCCTTTTTAAATTGCAAATTGATGATGCCCCTGAGCCTGATGCCCTTAGGTTTGCCTAAGGTGAACCATACCTGCCCTGCCCTGCTCCAGCATATGCTGCCCCTGCCCCTTCCCTCCACCCCAGCATGCTGCTGACTCCTCAGTCTCCACTCCCCCTGGGAAGCCCTCTTGGTCCCCAGTCCCTGAGCCTGGAACTCAGCACTTTCTACCCCATAGCCTGTGAGGACAGGACACCTGCCTGCCTGCTGCCACTTCCCTGCCTGCCTACCTCCGAGGCTGGCGGGTAACAGGGGCTCACTAATACCTGGGGTTCAGCTCGATGTGAGGATGGTTCATGCCCCATGAAGGCCAACAACTTTCAGACATGCAGGAGCTCCCCTCCAGAATATTCTGCAACAAGGGTGAGCTGTCAGTGACCCCTGCCCCGCAGGCTGGGTCATCTCCTCCCATGTGGCTTCCCTCCATCCTCAGGGGGTGTCTCCTGGGCTGGCAGAGCTAGATCTCTAGCAGGAGCGTGGCTCAGCCCCTCCTGGCCACATTTTAGAATCAGGTCACAGGGTTTCTGAGTATAGCTGATCAGAGGAGAGGTGACCTGACCCCAGTACAGCCAATTAGATATCTTGCTGTTAGAAACGGGCATTAAGATAGCAAGATGGGGCCTCTCTGGGCACAGGAGGTTGAGCGCAGCGCTGTGAAGCTGCTGCAGCCTCTGCAGTGCGGGTTCGATCCCCGCCAGCCTCGGAGATACCCACATGGCGAGCAGACCTCTCCTGTCTCGTCCGCTGCTCCCCTCAGCAGTGTACTTCGGTCCTTCTGCCTGTTCTGCTCCCCGCTCTGGCTCTGGTGAATCCTCTCACCCTCCTGCACATCTGGCTTGTACCCTGGTTCTTGTATAAATAAATAAATCTTAAAAAAAAAAGATAGCAGGATGGAAGGATTTTATGTTGTTAGAACTAAAATGTAAAAATCATCTAGGGCTGTGGGGTGGCCATGGCTCTAAAGAAGGTGGTCTGCCTGGCAGCCCTTCCCAGCCCCTATGGGATCTGGTCCCAGCCCCCTGCAGGGCCATCTTCCCCTCACCCATGCTTCTCCTACCCACCCAGCTGCAAGCTCTTCCCTGAGGAAGGTTCTGTTTGGAAGATTTCGCCAGCCACATCCCACAAGCAAAACTCGGGCCCTTCCACCATCATCCTCCTGCATGGCATCCCGCATTCTGCAGCAGCATTCATCACAAGGGGTGACAACTGATTGTTGGCTTCATTGTTTAATGCCTCTTACTCCTCCTGGACTGTTAATTCCATGCATGCAAGAACCATGTCTTTTTTTTAACGACCAAATCCTTGGCACCTGGCACAACTTCTGAGCTACAGCACTTTCCCAGAATATGCTGAATTTGTGAATGAGGGAGAAGCAGCTTCAGCTGGGACATGTGACCCCATCTCCAGGCCCTGAATGCCCTGAATGCCCAGTTCTCCCAGCTAAGGAGTCACAGCTCAGTAATTGCTCCTGCCCCCCTCAAGAGCACATATGGAAATTTTTATTTGCAGGCTGAAGTCCTTCCACATTCAGCTAGAGAGGCCTGAAGTGACAGAACTTCAGGTCTACGCGCCTTTATGGGGACCTCAGCCAAAATGGGCCAGATGCCACCCACTACTGCTTCAATGTAGGAACAGCAATAAAGACTCAGAGAACAAACCCAGCAGGTTCTTTGAGAACTCATTTTGTCCAAAGCCATCTCACTAAACCTTTGATGGGAAAACAATATGTCCCCACCACTGTTGAAGGGATGTAGTTTCACTTTTTAAAGTCACAGTTTCCCAAACCTGTGGTTAAGTGAGAACTTACGGTACAATCCTGCTCCCTGGACGCAAGTGTGGTGCTATTACTTGGGGAATACATTTGTGTAGTTACTTCACAATTGTGCCTACCACAGCTGTGATAGTATAGAGGACAACATTTTTAGCTCAGGACATAGAAAGCAGGAAGTGCAGGGGACTCAGGGACTATTACTCACTCATAAAAAGAACCAAGTGCTGACACACGCTGCTACATATATAAACCTTTAAAATATGTGCATGTGAAGAACCTGGTCACAAAGAACCACATACTGTAGAACTCCATTTATGTGAAATGTCTCAAAGAAGCAAATCCATAAAGACAGAAAGTGGACTGGTGGGTGGGGGACGGGTGGCTTGGAAGCAACTTTTTGGGATGACGAGAATGCTTTTTAATTGTGGTGAGAGTGGCCCCATTCCGCGACTATATTGAAACCATGTATTTGTATGCTTTCACAGGTGAATTGTAAGATCTGTGAATCATACTTCAGTAAAGCTGTTATTAAAATAAAAAGGACAAGGGTTAGCTGAGCCTCCGGAGGGGGGCGGGCGGTGCAGGGAGCAGTTTTCATGAGTACTGGCACTGAACTCTTCAATGATGGTTAGTTAGACTTTGCTCTACCTTTGCTTTTAGGCTTAAAAAAAAAGTCTACCTCTCAGGATTACAAAGTGGAAATCCACAGGACCCTCAGAGAATTTGCTGCTGATTCGCTTTTAAGTAGCTTTATAAAGCTACTTAAAAAGCTACTTATAAAGCTGGGTGGGATCTCAGGAACCAGGCATTTTGTTGTATTATTTGAAGACACACAGAAAACAGTGATGGTGTCATGTAACATTTAAAATCGTGTTAGGGTCAGCATTTTGAACTGTGGACTGAACGCTGTGGGTAGGTAGAGACACAGCTGTTGGCAGCATAGACAGCCCTGTCACTCAGGGCATAAAAGCAGGACTGAAAGGTAAACTAGGAGCCAAATACAACTGTCAACTCAAAGGGCATAGCAGTAAATTTTTGAGCCTCCCAAGAACCAGATTAAATTTGCTATTTTCAGTGACGTCAATTTTATCCTGTTTGCGTAATTTTTCTTACTCATGTGCCACCTATCTGATTGCTAAAAGGGCAAATTTCAATTATGGAAAATTCTAGGGCTTATCTTATACGAATGTCACAAATGAAAATAAAGGGTAGGAAAAAGGAATCTAGCATACTCGGTATGACAGTTCTATTTTAGGAAGAGGGCTGTTTGGCCAAAGTTGCCTGCAAACTTCTTCTGTTCACTTGATCACACTGCCCAAAAAGGGGGTTTTCCAGCAGCCTCCCGAGCGCGGGGTCTTACCGCAGGCATAGGTGACAGTGAGGTATTTTTTCACTCCCGGCAGACAGGGGCTTCTGAAATGGTGATTGTTGACCATGACTTTGCACCTCTGCTTCCCGTAGCACCTCCGGGACAGGACATGCACCGCCGAGTACGACAGACAGTCTGAGAAGAGGGAAGAACAAGAACTTTACATACATGCACCCCATATATGGGCACCTCACGGCTTGTGCTATGTTATATAAAGAAATGTGCCAAATCAGAACTTGAATCCAGGGGAAATCATTTCTCCACTGATCTTCTGTATCACGAGGACACCCACATGCAGAGCAGGATCCTGGGCGTGTGCTGGAAGGGCCCTTGCCTTGATTCGGGGCCTGCTGTTGAAGTTCTTCTATATTTTTGAGCAGCGAGCCATACATTTCCATTTTGCACAATTTACACATTTTGTGGGGTCCTGCAAATTATATAACTAGTCTTGCACACGGAATAGGCAACATACATACAACCTTGAATGAAGACTCTTATTTCTGTGATGACCCATACCATGATTTGAATTATTTTATGTTTATTTTGAGAATCTGTCTCCTCTACATGAACATTGGTGCTGTGAGGGCAGGATTATTACCAGACTAGTCCATAGTAGAAGCCCAGTGAGTAACAATGAACGAATGAATGAGTCAAATGAACCACCAAACTCTCAGGCATGCTTCTCAGCACCTGGAGCACCGTCCTGCCATCAGTGAGAGTTAACTGAGCCCCATGAGGCTCTGCACCACACGCTGTCAGGAGGCGACCCTGCCTTGGAGGGCGAGCAGGTGCTGGAGAGACAAGGCCCGCAGGGACCACCCGTGCCCAACAATGCGGAACTAGTGAGAGTGAGGGGTCTGGGCAAGGCCAAGACAGGAGCTGGCTGAGAAGCCTGGAGGTCAAGACAGACTCAGGAGACAAGGACGTGAACTGGGCAGAGGCAGGCGCGAGAAGCACAGACACCAGGCCAGAGGCCAGAGCACACCTGAGGGTGCAAGGGGCCGACCCCCGGCCAGAAAAGTGGGTGTGGCAGGGATATGCCACCCAAAATGAGCAGGGAAAGCCAGCTGGAGGACTGAGGTCACTGTGAGTGCTTTGCTGAAGCCCCAGGGCCTGGGGATGTCCTGGGGGACAGTGTGGGGTGCCCTGGGAGAGAGAAGCAAATGGGAGACCCGTTTGGAAGTGATTTTATTTTTCATTTATTTTTTAAAATTTTAATAATTTTTATTTTTTATATATTTTTTACATCATTCTTCATTTTGTTTTTACAATGGATGCTTTCTCATCTCAGTTACAGTCCCCATGAACCACAGGGAGGAGTTCAGGGCTTGAGGAGCAGGGGGTAGAGGAGGAGAGGACTTAGGGACCTCGCAGCAGCGTCTCCCCACAATAGCAGCTAACGTGACGTCGCGTGTGTGGATTTACACGTCCCAACGACCCTGGGAGGTGGGCTGTTGATCACGTGTATGTAACACTGTATTACATATTATACGTACATCAGGCTATTCTCTAATATATAAAAGTTTGCTTCCATTGCATGTATGTCTACAGATGTGTGTATCTATGACCATATATGGGGGAGCAAGGGAGAGACAGCAAAAAGAAAGGTAGACAGAAACAAGCAGAAAAGGGAGGGGAAGAGGGGGAGAGAAAGAGAAAGGGGAATCAAGAGGAAGAGAGAAAGAAGAGAGAGAGAAAGAATATATAGAATCAATTTGTAGGTAAGAGAACGCCCAGGCAGGTGCCGTCCAGAAACGAGAGAGCAGCAGGATGTGAGTCTCAGCATTTGGGGGTTTGGACGCTGAGCTCTGCAATCTGGGCGTCCAGCAGAGATCAAAGAAGATTCAGCCTTTCAGCCTGGGAGGGACTGAGGTGCCTTTGCCAGGAAGAGAGGGAACCAGGAAGTGTAGGCAGCTTGGAGGACAAGATGATAAATTTGTATAAAAAACAAACACTGTTCCGCATTTCAGCTGGGAGGGACTTTTAAAGAGAAATTTCAGATGTGGAAATGCCCGTGGGAGGCTCTGCCCGGCCAGCCCCAGGCTGTGCAGGGTGGGGGCACAGAGGCAGGGAACCCTGTTTACCGACGTTTCTTGTGCCATCTGCCCCTATTTTTTAAAATACCCCCCCTGCATTTCCCAAATCTCACACCTTCCTCCAGCCTTCTCTCTTTCCTCCAGCCAGACTTCTAAAAGGGTCTTCTATGTCCTCCCCGTGCGCCCCCTCACTCATCTCCATCCTCAACAGGCTTCTGTCCATACAAGCCCTGGCGGATCCCCTCCCTCTGACCATGGGCCCTTCTACTGTCCAGTCTGAGATGGGAGCCGGCCTTCATCCTTGCCCAACTGGGGAACTCTGGGTGCCTGAACACTATTGTTGAGGGATTCTTCACTGACCTTGGCTCCCTGGTGCCCTTCTCCCTACTTTCTGTGACCCCTCTACTCCAGAGTCCTCTGCAGACCTGCTCATCCAAAGTGTGCTCCCTCCTCAGCCTGCCTCTCTTCTTCCACCTCTGTGCTCCACCTGGACCCTGCATCCACCCTGAGCCTCCAAGAGCCAGGGCCCCATCCTTCCTTCCAGCTCTGGTTGTTCCTTGGAATCCACTTTCAGCACAGACTGACCTCGCTCTCTTCCCAGAACCTCCGACATCTCATGTCTAGACAGAATTCATCACATCTTTCTAACCTCCCAGACACCCAAGTGACCCAACTAAACACCCCTCTCCTAATCCTGGCTCTCTGTGACAGGTACTGAATCTTCCAGGGAAACCCAACCAGAAGCCTCGGCTCCCTCCTCCTCCCAATCTGATGCCCTGGCCAGGCACCCACCCTACTCGCAGTTCCCCAGCTACTGCCTCCCTTCCAGCCACAAGACTAATATGATGGTAAGGAGATCACCTCCATTGCTTATGAAACTCTGTGACTTCTCATACTCTCACCACCAGGCATTTGAGACAGCTGCTCAGAACAAGAGATCTTTAAATAGATTACTCAGAAAGAGAGCAGAAGGGGCAAATCAGCAGTGGGGTTCATGGGTGAACAACAGGTGGATGTGAGGTGCAAGAAGTACTCAGACAGATCCAGAAGCAACAGGAAGTGCCCAGCTTCACATCCAAGTGCACTGCAGCACTAGTCACAACAGCCAAGAGGTGGGAGCAACTTTAGTGTCTATCAGTGAATGGACAAACAAAATGAGGTAGAGGCAGACCTAAATGGAATATTATACAGCCTTTAAAAGGTAGCAAATGCTCACATACACACTACAACATGGATGAAACTTGAGGCCACTATACTAACTGAAAGAAGCCAGACAGAAAGTGCAAATTCTGTACAATTCCACTCCTTTGAGGCTCCTAGGGCAGTCAAATCCAGAGACAGAAAGCAGAATGCACACCTGAAACCTATATAATGTTGACAACCAATGTTACTGGAATAAAAAATTTTAAAGAGTAGAATGTTTGCCAGAGGCCGGGGAGGGGGAATAGGGAGTTGTGGTTTAATGGGGACAGAGTTTTGGTTTTGCAAGATAAGAAAGTTCTGGAGATGGAGGGTGGTGATGATTGCACAACCATGTAAATATACATATTATCACTGACCTGCACTTAGAAATGATTAAGGTGGTAAATTGTATGTGCTATGAGTTGCTTCAACCACAATTAAAATACCATGGCTTAATTGTGATGATTAAATTAATAGCTTTTCATAAAAGGCTTAAAACACTGCCCACCATACTGTAAGTATCAGTTATTATTAACAATGGAGAAGGAGAAGGGATGGAGGGAATTTAGAGGGTGGTAGCATGAGAGAAAGCTTTGAATGAGTGGAAGAACACGGGATGGAAGGAGCAGGAACACTCTAGTCATGTTCATGGAAAAGAAGGCTCACGTCATGAAGGTACTGGTTCTTCTACATGGATCCATAGACCCAACTGATTTCTACCCCCAACCCACTGTGGGACTTACTTTGAGTCAAACAGGCTCCATCTTGTTGAGATGTCTGGGTGTAACGTAAGCAGCCCAGCTCAGCTCCCCACTGGCTACTATGGAAAACACCCACTTACTGATTTCTCCTTCCAATGATCATGAAAGAATCTCAACACCCTTTTCCCTGCAACTGATGATTAGCAAAGACACAGAAGGGTCACCTGCTGTGGTTACGAAGGACCCACCTGGTTGCATTCTGTTTGAAGATTCCTGCTAACCAAACATTTCAAACAAATCACCTAAGCCGAGTTTGGTCGCTCCCCTGCCAGATCCTATAAACCTCCCCTCTGCCCTGACCCTGCCCTGTCCACATCTGGGTGTGGACCTGACTCAGGACCCCTGTTCTCAACCGCTTCCATGAGTATATCATGGGTCTGATTATTTCTAAGTTGACACCCACTGGATTCCCATGGCACACGGCAAGCTCTCCTTCCAGAGTTGCATGCGTGCCTTTAGAAATTCACATTTTCTTATGACCTGTGCCATATGCTTCCAGGATAACAGAAGAAAAAAGAAGATTCCCATTTACACAGAAGATTCCCACAATCCATGGACACCCAGGCCAGGAGGGCTTGTGACCAGCAGGTTTGCAGAGGCAGCTGGTGTGCTCCTGAGTCACCCTGGAGCCAAGTGTATCTTGGGGAGAGGGGAAGAACCCCCAGTCAGCTTTCAGGAAGGGCCCCAAGGTAATTAGGTTGGACCATATCCTTGTTGACTCTGAGTTCTGATCCGTTTGCAGGATTTTTTTTAAGTGGTTATTTCCCTCCCAGGCTGATTTTCTTAGCACCCTCTCTTCCTGGCAAACTACCCTCCACCCCCAATACATGTGATAACAAGATATTCAACTATTTCATTTTTTTGGCCACTGTTTAACATCGAAACTGAAGTTAATCGCTCTTTACAACCTGTGTTTATTTAGATAATTAGGCTGCTGCTCCTAAGTGACTCTGTCTTGGCAGCAGGAACCCCTGGCACCTTGATCTTTGGCTGAACAGTCCAGGCCTGCCCACACTTGGCCTTGGGATGGCCCGAGCCAGCCTCGGAGATCCATTGTGTGGGTTTCTCATTCACTTATTAAGCAAACAGAAGAGTCCCTGGAGCCCACCCAGAAAATCTAAGTGCGACAGGATGTGATGTGCCAGGGTGGACACCCAGCCAGGGGAACTTTCTGGGGCCCTGCTTTCCAAGAACAGGCCCAGGTCTGTGGGAAGCTCACGACCTTCTTCTTGTGTTAAGATGCCATTTCACTGCATCGTTTGGCCCCAACGATAATCGATGATGGTTCCCTTTCATCCTTTCCTTCGGCATCACTTCCACTAGATGAAGCACATGTTTCAACGGATCCAACTCGCTAGATCTTCCAGAAATGGCTCTGGGTCAGCACCTTTATGAGAAGATACCAGGTCTACCTGCATTTGATCCTGTGTGTTGCTTTTTGAAGATGGTCTCGCACTGGGCTCGGTCACCATCCTATGTGTCCTTCCTTTCATTCGCTGGTCATCCTGGCGTGAGTTTGTGACAACATGGATGGACCTTGTAGGGATTATGCCAAGTGAAATAAGCCAGAAGGAGAAACACAAATACTGGAAGACTTCACTCATTTATGGAATGTAAAGAAAACAAAAATAAGCGCTTAGACTCTGATAGCAGAGTGGCTAGCAGAGGGGTAGGAGGTGTGAGGGAATGTGTAGAAGGGGTTCATTGGTTGGTAGGGGATGATGAATGGACATTTGTTAGACAGTGTGGTGAGAAAATGTACAGTGTTGTAACTAATGTTATCTCAAAATAAAAAATATCAAAACAAAACAGGAAATGGACACAAACATACGGGCTGTTTCCCTTCAGGCTCCTGGTGTGCCCCAAGACCATTGATTTTGGCATTGAACAGCACCTCCCTTTTGCGCCCGGCCATACGAATGTCATTTTCTGTGTATGATGATGGGGGAAAGTGCAGCACATTGTTCAAGGCCAGGGTGTGGTGTGTGACTGTCTCCCCTGCCCTGATACATCCCAGATGGGGCCAGCCCAGGGCAGGGCACACTGACATGAGGCTGCCTGGCTCTGGCCAGAGGACAGGTGTGAACACCCCCACACCCTTAGGGATGCCCAGAACTTCGGTCCTGCTAGGGGAGTAGCTACTGCAGGTCTCAGGCAGCCCTGAGGATGTTTATGGAAGGTTGACAGCACCACACCATGAATGCAGGGGTGAGAGAGGGGTCTCACATACACCCTGACTTCCACGAGGGCGTCTCCCTCTTCACCACCACTCAGCTCCTTTCTCTTGACCTTGTCCTACACATGAGCACACAGAATGTCCCCAATGCAAACTAAGTTCAGAAAAAAGATCCTGGGGTGGAGGAGGGGTATTTACATCGGAAAAAAAAAAAAAAAAGTAAAGGGCTACTATCTCTATTCCATTACTCATAAAAATTTATGGGAAAAAATAAGATCTGAACAGAAAAAAAGGAAAGGACAAAGGCTAGAGACATGATATCCAGTATAACTAAAAAAACATGGGGAAACGTTCAAGGTCATTAACATTCACAGGCAAATAAAAGATATATAGAAAGATCATTTTATACCCATTAAAAACAAATATTCAATATAACGTGGCCAGTTGCAGGGAAGCCCACAACTATACATCATTGTTTAAACATATAAATTAGAACAAAAAGATTTTGGAAAGAACGCATGATGCATATGAAGAATCGTAAATGTTTAAGTTTTCTTTTATATGAAATTTCTAGGAATTTATCCCAAGGAAATAATCCAGAAGGGGGAATAAAGGACACAGGCATAAGTTTATGATACGTTATTTAAAATATTTGAAAATCAGAAATAACGAAAAATACCTAGCCACTTGGGAGTGACTAAGTAAATTACATACTAGATCCTTTAACAAAATAGTAGGAAGTGATTGACATGGTTAGGATTTTATGGGCCAGGTGGTAAAACAGGCTTGATATAAAGTTAGAGGAGAAAAAAATCAAGCTCAAGTTCAACTGCTTTAGAATTGTCATTACGTAAAACTGTTCTGGGCTCAACACCAGAGATCCCAAGAAAGAAAAATCTTTTCTTTGATGGGTAAAATGTGCGGCTGCATCTTTTTCTCATTTGTTCAATGTTATTACAGCTCTGTTAAACAATAACAAGAATCCTAATACAGTTGAGCTTGAACAGCTGGGGCTTGAACAGCATGGGTCCACACACATCACTGCACTAAAATTGCTGAGCACCTTCCCGCTGCTCCCCTCAGCAGTGTCTTCAGTCCATCTGCCTGTTCTGCTCCCCACTCTGTCTCTGGTGAGTCCTCTCACCCTCCTATGCCTCTGACTGTACCCCAGTTCTTGTATAAATAAATAAATCTTTTAAAAAATAAAAGGGCCTCCCTGGTGGCGCAGGTGGTTGAGCACTGCACTGTGAAGCTGTCCGCAGCCTCTGCAGTGCAGGTTCGATACCAGCCAGTCAGCAAGGGTCCCACATGGCGCAGCATACCTCTCCTGCCGCCCGCTGCTCCCCTCAGCTGTATATTTCATCATTCTGCCTGTTCTGTTCCCTGCTCTGTCTCTGGTGAATCCTCTCACCCTTCCATTAAATAAATCTTCCAAAAAAAAAAGAAAAGAAATGTCATTTAAAAAAAAAAAAAGGCAGGGACATTGCCAGGAGGGAGGTGGGGTGATGGTGTGCTCCCCAGGGCATACAGTTATGTAAACTAATAGCAAATCAATGAAAATTTAGGGGGTAAAAGGGCATCTGGATGCCCACTTCAGCTGCCTCAGGGGTCTGCCAGGGCCCTGCCTCTGCCCCTGCTCCCCCCACCGAACACGCAGGCGAGGGCTTCACTGGCACCCATGCCACGTGAGCTGCAATCTCACCTGACGGTTGCCTGCGTGGCCAGGTCACGATCTGCTCTTTTTTGTTGTTGTTGTTTTCAGGTCCAAGATACCACGTGTGCATTTGAATTTCTTTTGATAACTAACGAACTAGTGTGCAATTTTACACGTGGTCCATCAATGAACCACAGCAATTTCATATACTAAGAAGCTCACTTCAGATTTTAATGAGGAAAATGCACGCTCCCTTGGGCTGTTTCCCAGCATTGTCTGTCCCCTCGTGGAATAAGGAGGTGGACAGAGGCCATTTCTCCACCCCTGCCTGCGTGCATGATGGTTAATTTCATGTGCCATTTTGGCCCTGCTGCCCAGTTGTTTGGCCAAACACAAACCTCGGTGTTGCTGTGCATGCTTTTAACCTGCAACTATATCTAAGTCAATAGTCTCTAAGAGAAGCAGCTCTATGGTGTGTGGGTGCACCCAACCAGTCAGTTGCAGGTCTTATGACAAAGACAAGTTTCCTGAAAAGGAACTTTTCCTTCTGATGGCAACACAGAAATTCTGCCTGTGGGCCTGTGGAATCCAGATTCCAGACTGAACATCAGCTTCTTCAGTTTGCAGCCTGGCCTCCAGATGACCAACCACAGGCACATGAACCAACTTCACAAAATCCATCTTTTGTTCTCTCTTTAAATGCACATACAGATATATGTACACACAGACGGTCCCCATCCTACCACGGCTCCACATACGATGTTTCAACTTTACGATGGAAACCACATGCATTCAGCAAAAACCCGCCTTCAAATTTTGAATTTTAATCCTCTCCTGGGTGGTGACAGTCAATATAACACTGTCTTGTGATGCTGGGGTGGGGGTGAGGGGCAGCTGCAGGGGTGTAGACAAGCAACACTCAACAGTGCACCGTGTGGCCCATGTTTTCTGATTATCGCTTTGCGATTTGCATCCCATCGTGTCTACAAAATGTCCATCTGCGTTTGAGATCTGGACCACGAGAATAGGCTTTGTGTGAGATGAGTCTGGGCAACCACAGCTCACAGAGTATTCTAGAAATGGCACTTCCGACTTCTCTTTCTTTCAGCTCACCGTGAGTTTATGGGCCGGTACCCCGTCATAAGTGGGAATGTGCTCCTGTTGGGCTGTCTCTCTGGAACACCCTGACTCATAACTGGAGCAACTGCGATGGTGGGCGAGCAGGTCCATGAGTCCACACCTCCAATACGAAGCCTCGTAAGCTCTTCTGGACGCCGATCACACTGCTTCCAGCCCAGCTGTTCATTCTACCTGGACACCTTCCCAGGTATTTGTGGCCCACTCCCTACGCTGTCCATAAATCTGCAACTCCGCAGCAGCCCCAGCCTCCTACCTGCCTTCCTGGTGTGCTTTGCTCCTTAGCTCTTACCCACACGTGCTATATGACATATCAGCATGATTACTATTCATTTTCTTTTTGTTCACTGCTGGAAGAGCAGCTCCATGCAGACCCTGTGTCTGTCACTGATGACTTCCTCAAGCCTGCAGCAGGGCCCTGCATACAGTAGGCGCTCAATAGCTACTCCATGTGGATGACTGAAGAACAGAGGGCTGGGGAGCATGGGGCAGAGGAGGCAGGCCCATGTGGCCTCCCTGTAATCCAGGTATGGCCCCTTTCCCTAGGGAGTGGGGCCCTCAGGCACCCAGACTGCATCTTTTCACTGCCACCTAAGAACACCTACCAAAGGGGGGGAGCCACTCCGCCTCCGAGGCACAGACCTCCCGCTCCTGGGTCTTTCTGCCGTAGGTCGCTGAGTAGATGTTGAGATACTTGGACTCGTGACAGTGCAGTTTCAGCTCTTGGTCTTCACACACAGTTTTGTTTTTTAACTCATCTGAAGCAGAAACAAAAATTGGTGGCATCATCAGCTTCCCTAGGAAAATTCCGGGGGGAGGCACTGTTCCCAAGTGCCCATCACTCGTTCCCCTGGGGCTGCACCCTGAGAAGGGGACAGGCAGGATGGCCTGGGGGTGGGTCTCTGAGTCGGGAAGACAGAGCTTTCTGCAGGGAGCAGGCAGGGTGCAACTCACGGGCACAAAGACCCCCGTGAGGGGCCCACGGAGGAGAGATGGGCAGCTGAGGAGGCAGGCTCCCCAGATGGGCCTGGCCCTTCAAGAAACTTCTCTCTCTCTCCCCTTGAGGTCACACACACCTTTTCTCAGACGTTGGCTTGGGCTGCACACAGGTTCAGACTACGAATGACCTGAGAGCAGACTAAGCCTCTGGAGTAGCGCAGTTAAACTTCATCCCCGACTCCCCAACCTTCCAGCACCCTGTTTACGTATTTAAAGAGAGAGAGAGAGAAAGAGAAGCTGCAAAGCAAATTGTTTCCTTTGCTGGGAAAGGGAAGAGACAAGACACACTTGTCTTGTTCTGCGAAGAGTCCCCCTTCAGAGAAGCCTGAAGTGCCCGCCCCAAGTGTGCGGCTCTGGGAGGAAGTGATGCTGGGACTGAGGCGAGTTCCAGGTTTGGGGGATCTGAACTGGGTCACAGCTTGTTCTCAAAGAACATAGGGAGCTGGGGCCTCCCCGGTGGCGCATCGGTTGAGCGCTGGGTTGTGAAGCTGCCCGCAGCCTCTGCAGCGCCGGTTCGATCCCCGGCTGCTCCCCGGCCACCGGAGGAGGGTCCCGCATGGCGCGCAGACCTCTCCTGCCACCCGCTGCTCCCTCAGCGGTGCTTCGGTCCTTCTGCCTGATTCTCTCACCTCCCGCGCTTCTGACTGCACCCAGTGCTTGTATAAATAAATAAATAAAAATAAATCTTTAAAAAAAAAAAAAAAAGAACATAGGGAGCTGTTTGTTTGTTTAATCCACTTACACTGGTAAAATTTTCCTTCGTGATGTCATAACTGAGTTGACCTTGTCACCTAAAAAGGCAGAAGGCTCGCAGGCGAATGTGAATTATTGGGACAAACCCATAAAACTCTTTAGGGCTGTTTAGAGAAGGGCCAGGCACGCATTCTGGCTCAAGCATGCGCAGAGAAGACTTCAGCCACCTAATAGCCATTTGCACAATAAAATCCCCACCCACGGGGGTGCTCAGCCACCATTTTCTGAACATGGGCCCCATGAAGAGGCCTGATCTGGTCCGGAAGCCACATTGCACCAGCCCAGCTGGTGAGATGCGGACTCTCTGCCCCCACCCTGTCCAGTCCCGGCAATCCTAGAAAACCCCCAGCTCCCTCTAGGAAGGCGAAGCAGTCCTTTGGAATCAGCCCTCTGTCTGCCTCTTTACTTGATTCCAATACTTAAGCTCTCGCTGTCACACATCCTCAACTTGGCTTAGCCAGCTGACCCGCACACTTGACATCCGTAACCACATTATAAACACCCTGCTGAAGAAAATGCAGTTTACTGGTTTCTCTAAAACTTTTTTTCATTTTTTTTCAAAATGCTTAATGACAATTTGATTTTCAAAATTCATAATAATTAACACTCCAGACATAAAGACCACCTATGGTATCATTCTGTTTCTACGAGACACCCAGAGAAAGAAAACCTGCAGACAGACATAGGTGAGGCTTCCCTGAGGCTGGGGTTTGGGAACCAGGAGCGAGATCACTAAAGCCTATGGAAATTTTTGAGATGATGGAAAAAGTCCATTGCTGGATTATGGTGATGGTTGTCTTGGTACATTTACTAAAAAATCACTGAATTGTACTTCAGACAGGTGAGTTCTATGTGATGTGTGTTATACCTCAAAGATTTTTAAAAATTGCAACAGAGTATTTGCTGAGCACTTCCTCTGAACTGGACCCTGCTCTAAGATCTTTAAACTTAGCAGTGAACTTAATGCTCACAGCAGCCTTCTGCAAACCTACTTTTCATATTTTTTGACTGCTTGGGTGTTGGATTTTTAGAAATTGCAGATGTTATTCATATATTCCAGATGCTAACTTTTGTCTCTTATGTGTTATAAAAACCTTCTCCCAGCCTGCCACTTATCTTAAACTTTGTAAAATAAAAAGCAAGACATCAAGGAGACCACAGTCATTCATTTGCCTGTGTGGTTCTCTCCTTCCCCCCGCAATTTTGTAAAGGAAAATCATGAAAAGATGCTTGCCCCCACCCCCAACCACCACCAGTTTCTCTGCGTTTTCTCTTCTGAAATGGCAGCTGCAAGTAAATGGGCACATCTTTCAGCCAAACAAGCACCTGTGTCAACAGCAGAGACTGGAGGTACAGAAGCTACCTGGGATGGATGGGAGGAAGTGACGACAAGAGGAAGGGAAGTTGGTTCGCTCTCGCCCCCCTCGTCAGGCTCCCCCCATGACTCACTCAAGTTTTTGCTGGATTTCAGGTGCAGATTGATCCCAGGTTCCTGATACACCCAAAGTCAAAGATTTTCAAATGGTGGAGACTCAGGAATGGACATAAAATCAATTTTAATTGGGATCAATCGGCAATTAAAAAGTATGGAGTGGTTTAGAAAATACCAAAGTGCATTGCACCAAGTAAGGGTCAACACTATTTTATAATTAAAAAAACTTTTCGTTAAGCAACATGTGTTATGTTGGGTCAAAATGTAAAATGTATTCTTAGCCTGGGTACGTTGAAAACTCCCACCTGAAGCCTTGCGACAAAGGCTGGGCGGTTAAGCATTAGGACAGCACAGGAGGATGGGTGCTTCCCGTCCTGGAACTGATGACGCTTAAGTCCCAAACATCCAACATGAAAACAATTCCCCAGTGTAAATTCCACCTTTCTGTACCTTGTAATCCCCATGCCTTTCTAAGAAAAACCTTCTCGATCTCAAGATTAGTGTTAGCTCAGTGCTACTAAACCCCAGCACTCTCTTAACAGGAGAGGAAAGGTGCAGCGCAGAGAGAACCCAGGTGACAGGTGCTGACAAATCCCCTTTGGAGAATTTAAGCAGACAGAGGGACCCATCCCAGGGAGGAGGCTGGGGTGACTAAGCAAATGTTTAGGGTGCCCTTTTCCCCACTCACTGGACACTTGGTGTGTGTACCAGTTTAAACTTAGAGTCAAGAAAACTTTTGTTTTCTTTTTCTAAATGAAAAGAATGCTGTCCCTGCCCCTGGAGGGCTGGATGGATGCTTTTGGGTGAGTCACACCCGAGCTATATGAGTTTTTTCAAGTGTTTTTTATGAGTAAGAGCAAAATACCACCAACATCGAAACATGGCCTGACATCAGAGGTCCAGAGTGGACCAGGGCATTTGATGCAGGCCAGAGGGCCTAGGCAGCCAGGCCACAGGAGCTCAAGCCCCCTTCCAGCCCGGAGAACACCCAAAAAATGTTAAGAATGCTTTTCAGGGGCAGAGTTTGCCAAAAAGGAAGGTGGGCGAAGGCAAGATGAAAACCAAGCCTTCTGTGTGCAAAGTAGAAACTCTGGAAGCAGAAATGGTTTCTTTCTTTTTGAAAATCAGAATTGCTAAAATTTTAAGATTTTTTTAAGGCAGGTCACCCACATTTATTAGCCACCATCTCTCTGATGTCTTAAAGCCCAGTCATTAAAGGCAGACCAGTTGCCAGGAAAAAGCACTCAGAGAAATACAACACCCGTCTCAGTGATCAGCCCCAGATTATGGGCAAATCATCTGGAATGGAGGGGGCTGAATGTCACATTACCCGCTTGGGGTTACGGGTTACAGGGATGGGAGGGTGATTCTCTCCAGTTGATGGGGACGTGTGGATCCACTGCTGCTGGAGAAGGACACTGCTGGGTTCTATGGGCAACAGGATAGAGAACCGCGTTTGTTTTAGAGCTGGGTCTTGTTCTCAGTGGTGTCAGGTTGGAAAAGATGTGGGCAGCGTTCCAAAGCATGTTGCCAACACCCCCGTATGTTCAGAGGGAGAGAGTGACAGGGGTTGGCCAGACGGGAGGGCTCCGCGCAAAGGCACCAGAGGCAACTTCTCTGACCTGCCTCTGGGAGGGCCCATGCGTGGTTCTCTCCTCTTTAATGCCACGAGTGCCCTTGCATCCCGGGATCTGCCTGATGGGCAGACATCACCGCCGATGGTATTTACAATGGCCGGTGCGTGGGAATATTAAGAAGCAGATAGATATTCAGTCATTTCTTTTGATTTTTAAATTCTCTACAGACGGTATCCTGCTGTCGCCTGCACCCAGCAGACTGCACCCCCTCCTGGCTCTATGCTCGTTGTCTTTCAGTCACTCACTTCTCAAGGTCACACAGCAGCTACACAGCAGACAGGCCCACGAGCCCAGAACTGTCTAAACCCAAAGCTTTCTGGCCATCAAAATTCCCCGAGGGGATGAGGTTTGGAAAGGAGGCAAAGCCTATTGATTACTCAGGAAAAGAAGGTTTTGGTGAAGTTTGCTGGTACAATAGGCTCAAAAAAAAAAAAAAAAAAAAAAAAACAAAACAACCCAAACCACTAACCCTGACTTGTAGTATTTGCCAGTGTTTCTGTTGTAAATACTGCCAAGGAGCAGATTCACCCTCGCACAGGGAAGATATGCATGTCTCTGGCTGGGGTTGGGGGGGCAGGGTGGGGAGGGACCCAGGCTGGGACAACAGAGGAGACAAGGCTCAGGAGGTAAGCGGGCTGCAGAAAAAGAGGCAGGAATTGTGGGGACCCCCTCATTCCCACCTCAATTTTATAGAAGCCACCTCCCCTAGTGCAGGGCTTGGGTTACCAGCAGCCAGGTTGCACAAGGAGCGCTGGTCTGAATTGTCCCCCCAAAATTCATATGTTGGAGGGTCTCCCCTGGTGCTGCAGGTGGTTGAGCACAGCGCTGTGAAGCTGTCCGCAGCCTCTGCAGTGCCAGTTCAATCCCTGCCGGCCTCGGAGCAACCCACATGGCGAGTAGATCTCTCCTGTCTCGCCCACTGCTCCCCCCAGCAGTGTTTTTTTGCCAGTCTGCCTGTTCTGTTCCCCGCTCTGTCTCTGGTGAGTCCTCTCACCCTCCCACGCATCTGACCTGTACCCCAGTTCTTGTGTAAATAAATATCTTTAAAAAAAATTCATATGTTAGAAACCTAAACCCCAATGGAATACTATTGGAGGTAAGGCCTTTAGGAGGTGCTCAGGTCATGACGGTGGGCCCCCCAGCATGGGATTAGTGTCCCCCCTTTTTTCTTTTAACCAGACATAGGAAGTAAACTCAGAGCCTTACTTCCCTACTACAAAATGAAGCTAAATGGAATGTTGTGTCCCCAAACTCTGTTTTGTACCCAGGTTGGAAATCAAAGTCGCTACGTGATACAGTGACCCACGTGACTTGGAACCTACAGGCACAATTTCAAGTCACTTAATGGCCTTTATTAGCGAGACCCAGGTGAGTTCCCTGGACCCGTCCCCCAGAGGTGGTTCAAGTGAAAAGACAGGCATCTATGAGGAGACGCCACACCTGCTGGCACCCCGACCTTGGACATCCCAGGTCCAGAACCATGAGAAATCAAGTTCTGTCGGTGCTAAACCACCTGGTTTACAGCATCTAGTGACAGCAGTTGGGACAGACTCAGACACAGGGCCCTGCCCCAGCAATCTGTTACACTCGGAGCAGCAGGGGCCTTGCCACCCCACCCAGCTCCCTCCCTGCTCAAATGCTGCCCTGCAGGGGGCCTCCTCCCCCCTCCTTGGCCGGGTCCTGGACCCTGCTCCATGATCTGGTTGGCGCTCTCTGTGCTCCCCCAGCCCTTGCACCCTCCGGCCACTGGCCTCTGTAGGGGGTGCTCTCTCTCTGCCTGAACCCCACCCCTGCAGTTTTCACTCCTCCCAAGAAAGCCTTCCAGGAACCCTGCTCTGAGCGACCTGCATAGAGCATGGAGGGCCTCTCCAGGGAAACCCCGCCTCACTTGGAATCAGGCATAGATTTGTGAGATTCACTGTGAACAACGGGCCCCCACTAGATGGCAAGACCTGGTGACTTAGACGGGGTTCAACTGTGTTGCCCCGTGCCAGCACATGCCTGAGCCCCTGCTGCATACCAGCTGTCCGGGCTCACTGGTAAATGACACTGACCCTGCCCTCAGGATGCTCACATGCTGTTGGGGACTGGTGGGAGTATAAAAATACACAGGTGCTAACTTGTTAAAAAGGCTCAAAACAAAGTCAGTCTTCCATGCCCCCACCCCGAACTCCCCCAGCCCCAACTCCATACCTAACCAACCCATGAGCAGTTTCCTGGCTAGCACCAGGGGGGTCACTGGGGTGGCTGGACCCGTCTGTGGTGGGAGGAGGCTTCTTGGGAGTGATCCTTCCTGCCTTTTGTAATGACCTGGTCGCCCCCACTTTCTGGCCATGAAAACCTATTTTGTACAATTTGATGCAGCACCATTTTAAACACTAGATGATGCTGCCTTACTTGGGAATCAAGCCAACTGGAGATTTAAAATAAATTCGGTTGGTTGGATTTTATTTAACACAAGTCACGAATCAGCCAGGTCAATACACACGGCGATGCCTCCGTGAAGGAAACCAAACAGGAATGCTGTGAGTGGGAGGGCCCTGGAGCCTGGGGGAAGGTAGGCTCCAGAGGCGGAGCCAGCAGAGAATAAAATACAACAAATGAAAATGGTTGTGCCAGGGAGCAGCCCCTGTGCAGACTTTAAAAATTATTTTTCCTTATATTTTGGTTAAAAATCATTGCTCTAAGATTTCAACGAGCTTCTCAAAGATGAGCAGGACCCCACAAGGCTGCAATTGCCTGCGGTTTCTCCCGGGGCTGCCCCTCTAAGCCTGGAAGTGCAATCTACTTGCTAAAGAGCCGTAATTCTAGGTCTGCAGTGGACTCATCACAAATGGATGCATGTGGAGAAGACAAAAGTTAATTGGGGCAAGTGCAAGAATTGGAAGAGTTTGCCCTGGCCAGATGCCACCTCTGTCTTCCCCTGGAAGCCCCACCTCAGGCGCCTCACTGTGACCGTGTTGCTTGTAAGTGGGAGGCAGCCAGCTTCTAAAGACTTGGGGCACCTGTCCACAGGCCGGCTCAGACCAGCCGCCCTCCAGCTGGGGTGCACCACACACCAGTTGTCCTTGTGAGAAGAACCACCAGCTTATAATGAGGATGAGCAGACCCTGCAGCCTCTTGCCACCCCTGACATTTTAAGCATCAGTAAAACTGAGTTTCAGACTTTAGGGCTTTTCTCAGTGGAGGGGATTTGTAAGAATGCACATGGGCGTGTGTGCGTGCACACGTGTGCACACGCATTAAAGCAGGTAGGGTGGGCCCGTGTTCCTATGCAGAAGAGGTTCCAGGTTGGACAAACACCAACAAGCAGAGAACTTTTCATCGGTGTGTGGATCAAACAGGGAACCCGCACCCCAGACACAGCATCCCCCTCGGAAGTTACTTACTAGGTTGGCATTTAAAGGAGACCAGGAGGTATTTACTGCTTCCTGGACAAAGGTCAGGTCCAAAAACACGGCTATTGACCAGGAGGTGGCAGGCCCGCTGGTTCTGGCACTCGTCCAGCACCTTCTAAAACGAGGGTAGAAAAGGGACAGACTTGAAAACCACACACAGCGTCGGCGAGACCCGCGCCTGGCCGCCCGGGGCTGGGGGACAGCGGGCACAGATGCTGCCCGCAGGGGTCAAACACAGACGTGGCCGCAGGGGTGTCCGAGCACACACACGTGAACAGGAGCGGGTCCCTGGGCCCCCACTCTCCAGAAGCCTGATGCGACAGCGCCAGGAGCTCCTCACACTCCAGCCTCTGGTGGGCTCAACTGGCGCCAAGGGACACGAGCAAGGTCAGAGCATCTCAGCACGTCTGCTGCAAGGGACTTCGAGTGCCCTCCTGGGAGGGTCCCTGGGGGAAAAGCTGAGACAGGTCTGTGGGGGCCAGGGGTCTCAGTCACGGCCCCTCATCCTTAGAGATGACATGCATGGGCGCAGGAAGCCTGGGCATTTGGGGGACGCCTTGGAGACCCAGGCATGGGCCCACAAATAAACACGGACCAGCTGATCCCCGCCCTCCCTGGCCTCAAGGGCGCAGGGCCCACTTCTCCATGCAGCGATCGTGCCAGTGGGAGACTCAGGCTCTCTCTGCATCATCGGAGAGCTTCCCTTCCAAGCTCTCTCTTGCTTTTTCAGGCAATTCGCTCCCTCGTGAGTGCATCTGCCCGGGGATGCTCACAGAGCAGCCCCCAGGTTGCGGGAACCCCTGGCATCTCACTGCTGTTCTCCCTCATTGGTTCTCAGGTAGAAAAGGACGTCAGGTAAATGTCCCCAGGAGTCTGCTTGTTGCTGTGGATTGAATGTTGGCAGATTCCAAAGCCTTTTGGAACTATCTGCCACCTCGAGGGCCCTTGCAAATGTGTGTGAAATCAGGAGAAATGCCCAGAGAAACCCCAAAGATGCCCAGATGACAGTGCCATTCTCATGGCCAATGGTCATGGTGAAACAGCTCAGACCTTGGAACCTCTCAGGACTCAACCCCCATCAGGAACCAAGGCGGTGCAGTGCTGCGCCAGGGGACCTCCATCTCGGGCTGCTGTAGGGCTCCCGTGTGGCCGTCTACCTGTTCTCTCCTCACATTAAGCGACCCCAGCCCGAGGAAGCACCTCACCTCAGCTCCCGACTGCAGTTTAAGACACAAAGCAAAGGCTCTTGATCTCTAGATGAAAGAGCAGTGCAGGTGGATGTTTCTGGCAAACAAAACCTCCAAACAACATCAGATCTGTGTTCGCAGATGCTAACTTGTTGGCCTGGTTGGGTGAACATCCTCTCCCCCAGGGCTCCTGGCAGAGGCAGGCACCCATGTTGGAGGGTGAGGGTGGTGCCCATGCCTTGTGCTTCAGGGTGCCAGGGATTCTTACTTTCACAAAGCAGGTACTCCCGCCCTCTGGGCCAATGCTCTTGTGTGCACCTAGGAGGGCAGCAGACAGCCAGGGTGCCAGGGTGCCAGGGACAGGGCAGGGCAGGGCAGGGCAGGGCAGGGGGTGAGAGATGGGGCAGGCCAGTGGGGATTCAGCTCCTGAGCGGCCTCCAGGGGAAGGACTAGGGAGGATGGGGCACACAAGGAAAGTCACTGCTCTCTCCCAGAGCAACATGTTCTCTCTCCTCAGGGTGCAGAAGCCAGGAACGGGGTCTCCTTCGAACACATTGTTCTGGCTACTCAGCTGGTAGCCAGCCACTCATGCCTGCACCTGTCATGTAACCTCCAACACACTACGATGCTCCAAATGGAAACAAGGGAGGGGTGAGAAGCAGATCCTTACATGATGGCCTTATCTTTGCTTCTCCTCTTGGGACCTCAGGGAGAGCAACACAGCATTAAAGTTTATTCCATGTCTCCTAGTCCTCCCAGGACATCTGTCTTCGCCCACATTGCCTGAGACTGACAAAATCAACCTGACATCTCATTTGCCACCTGCCCTAACCATTCTGACGTCGACGTGCTCCTATAGAACTTGGAGGCATTAGCCAAGTCCAAGGCCAAGACTCCACAATCTCGACTGACCAGTTGTAAATGTGGGGGGCCGGGGACAATGGAGCAGAGGTTACTCAGGTAACAGAAAGCCACGAGCTCTCTAAAACCATCATTGAGTAATAGTTTTGATTTCCTCCTCTAACAAGTCTTTCCCTAATGCCAACCCCCCCCAAAAAAAAAGAATGAGGGGTGCCCCGACCCAAATACCTGGTCCTGTCCTGAGTCAGTAGATTCAGACGCGGGCCCAAGTGCCCCCCATGAGGATGAGGTGATTAGCAACCACAGGAGAAGAAACCCTGCACGAGGGTCGGTAATTCCCTTCCTTGAGATCATTCTCTAAGAAGCTGGTCGTGACCTCGGGGGCCTGCCTCACAGATCCCCCGGTTTCCTCTAAGGGGTCTCCAGCCTCCCCTTTCTACTGGGGTACTTATGGGAGACGTGCGTCTGGAGGTCAAAGCCCGTGGAATTTTTCTTTGCTTTCCTGTAGTTCGGAGAACTCCTGTGAATCAACTGGGACTGCAAGCGTGTGACGGGAGCGCTCCCGCCATTGGACCCCATCTAGACCCCAACGGCTCTTCAGAGACGCCCGCGAAGGCCCGCCTAGGAAACCCACGAAAGGTGATGTGTAGAAACTGGGGTTTTCGTGGCTCAGTCTTGCTTTGTGCGAACTACAAAACCACACGCACGTGCCCAGAGAGACAGAGAGAGGGGGCGAGAGGGAGGAAGCCATTTTTATCAATGTACAACATCCCTGAAGCAATACCTGCAATGTGGTGGGCGCCACGCAGGTTAAGCCGTCTTCCCTCTGGGAGGCAGGCTGCTGGGCACTACACGTGTGGTAACCTTGCCCATAAAAAGCCGATTGGACACTGATGGTGGAATGCCGAGGGCACTGCAGATTCAAGTGGTCCCCGTCGCAGGCATAGGCGGTGTGGTTTTGCAGGAGTTTGGTTAGGTAACCTGGAAAACATTCGGCTGGGTTACAAGAGGCCCAGGAGCTCAGCCCTCCTCCACCAGGGTGGGTGCAGAGGCCCTTGGCTGCCCGAGGAGGCAGCTGGCCGCTTGGGAAGAGCTGGGCAGGGCTTCCCTAGCATCTTCCTCGAAGGAGAAGACACCACACTTGGCCCCGAGCTGGCGCTGGAGGTGCAGAGCCCAGTGGACCCGGCTGGGCCGGAAGCCTTGGTCTGGGTCAGCCTGTTGGGAGGCTCCGAGTTGCCTTTCCCTTCGGGCACTGGCATGGAGGGATGGGCCCTGCAGGAGCTAAAAAGTCCTGAAGCTCCTCTAGAAGCAGGAAAACATTCCCAGTGGGTGTCAGGACATGCAGGTGCCTGTCCCGAGGGAGACGCGTGCTCTCTGATCTCCCGCTAGCTAGACCAGACCTTCCCGGAGTTGGGGGGATGCCCTTTGTAATCTTAGGAAACCACCCCCGGAGCTGCCTCAGGCCTGGGGAGGAAAGTGAGGCAGGGCACCTGCATGGGCTGGAACCTTCACTGAAGGGAGGGGAGCGGGTTGGGTGGACAACGAGGGGGCCCATAGTGTTCCCTCCAAATCCACGTCTACCGGGCGCCTCGGGAAGTGGCCCTTTCTGGAAATGGGGAGATTGCTGATATAAATAGCGAAGCTGGAGGAGGCTAGGCCCTTACTGCACAGGCCTCGTGTCCTTAGAAGAAGAGAAGAGACAGAGGAAAGACAGTTAAATAAACCCCCGAGGGACACATCTGGAGCTGCAGAACACCCAGGGCAGCGGGCAGCCCCAGAAGCTGGGAGCAGCAACAGGTTCCTCCCTAAAGCCTTCTTAAACCGGGACACCTTGATTTCAGACTTGGAGCTTCTGCAACTGGGAAATAATGAATTTCTGAGGCTTCCAGTCACCCAAGCGTGTGGTCTTTTGTTCCCTCAGTCACAGAAACAAACCCAGGTGCCCCATGCCAACCTCCCTGCCCCTCTCAAACTGGCTGAGGCGAGGAGCTGGCTGCACCCTGGCTCTGAGGAGCGGGAGGAAGGTCAGGCGTGGGAGGCCTGAGCTGTTTCTCAGAAAGGAGGAAGGAAGGTTCATCCGAAACGTAGACTCCTTTCCTCCTTCTCACACCTCAGAGGTCAATCTCCAGGCAGCTGGGAGGGGAGCCAGGGACTTTTTGGTGAGGTGTGTGGGAGCCGGGCTTGGCAGCTGTGGCCTCTGAGGGGAGGAGGTAGAGGAAGTCCTCAGAACTTTCCCAATTCCCACACAGACAGACTTGTGCCAGGGTTATTCCTACCAGGTTTCAGAATCCTCTCTGAACCATAATTCTCAGCAAAAGTCACCCGGTCCAGCTCCCTGAGTCTCCCTGAATGTCATATTGTGGTCACACCTGCCAGTCCAGAATGTTCCAACGAACAGAGGGAGCACTCATCCACACACTTCATCAGAACTTAGCTCTCACACTGCAGCTCCCTCCAGTCCCCCGAAAATCACCAAATTATCCTAAGTATGGCCAAGAATTAGTGACTACGAGTCAACTTCTTGTAAAGAAGCAAAGTAGCAAAAATGATGTCAGGTACCAGAAACACAGTGCACCCCACCAGGCACAGAGACCCCTTGGTGGCCCAAAGGCCATAGGTCAGTGTCTTCCTGAAGGACACACAGGAGGGCCCCAGGAAAGCCCGGAGTTGTGAGAGCTCAGCCTCCTTTGTGGGCTCTTAGTACCCCATCATGAGCCACCCCAGGGAACTCAGGGTGGCCTGGATGTTTTCCCTAGACCAGTCTCCCCGTTCCTCCCCCCTCCCAGGCTGATAACCACATACTTGAATCTCTTCTGATGCATCATTAAACCTTCTTGTCCATCACCCCCAGATCCTACTCGTCTCCCCTAGAAGGAAAGCTAGAACACCCCTTGCTTTAGGCAGCGTGGAGGGCGTCATGGCCCATTGAGAGTCATGGAGGAGGATGGGTGAGGTCAGAAGCTTGTAAAGGTTGAAAAGTAAGTAGAGGAACTCCCTGGTGGTGCAGCGGTTGAGCGCTGGGTTGCGAAGCTTCCCACAGCCTCTGCAGCGCCGGTTCGATCCCCAGCCTCCAGGCGAGGGTCCCACATAGTGCACAGACCTTTCCTGCCATGCCTGCTGCTCCCCTCAGCAGTGTACTTCGGTCCTTCTGCCTGCTCTGCTCCCTGCTCTGGCTCTGGTGAATTCTCTCACCCTCCCGTGCTTCTGACTGTACCCAGTGCTTGTATAAATAAATAAATACATCTTTGAAAAAAAAAGAAAAGTAAGTAGAAGTTGAGGAACTCTGAGATGATTTATGTATTAGACAGCATCATACCCCCTCCCAACAATGTCCACAGGACTAGCTCTATGTCCTAATGCCCATAACCTGTGAACATTTATGTTATAAAGGAGACCTTGCAATTGCAATTATGATTAAGTTTAGAATCTTAGGATGTAGAGAAGACCCTGAATAGCCTATGAGGGTCCAATACTATCACCAAGATCTTTGTGAGAGGGAAGCATTCCTGCTTCCGCTCAAAGTCAGGAAAGGGTGATGAGGCCACTGGACCAGAGCCTGGAGCAATAAAGCCATGAGCCAGAGGATGTAGGTGGTTTCTAGGAACTGGAAAAGGGAAGGTAACATGTTGTTGCCCTGAAACCTCCAGAACAAATGACAACCCCTCAATTTTAAACTTCTGTCCCTCCAAAACTTTAAGAGAAGAAATCTGTGCTGCTTTAAGCTACTTAATCCGTGATCATTTGTTACAACAGCTGTAGGAAACTAATACTGCTTACTCAGTGGCTCTTGCAAGAAGTTGAAGATGAGGGGAGAAATAGGACTGTAGTTATAAGAACCAATGTCTAGCAAGAGCTTGTTAAATACTTACATTTGGGTTATGGCTGGGAAAGGCCTATGCATGTGTGTATACATACCCAGGCAGCTGAGCACTAGGTCATATATTACTGTGGGTTGAGGTCAAATAAATTGGCAAGTGGGTAATAGCAAGAGAGTGAAATGATGGCCTGTACATTCCAAACTAAACACAGCAAAGGAAATGAGCACAGGAGAGAGAAAAGGTTCAAGGGAATGGAGGTCTGCAAGGGCTGAGTGGGGGCAATCACTCCAGCAAGCAGGAGAGGCAGGAGGTTGTGCCAAGGGAGTTCGAAGTGGGGCAGCTGCAGGTGTTGGACATATCCAAGAAGTGGCCATGGAAGAGGAAGATTGAGGACTTTAGTTGCTCAGGAGGAAAATGTGCTCTGGATCAGACCTCTCCCAGGATGAAGGGAGGGAATGAGGTGGCCCAGGTCCACAAAGGACAAATGACAGCTGCTCTGCTCCCAGCTTAAAGTCTCTTATATGTGCTGGCCCGCTGCCCCACTGAGCATGCACACTCTCTCCACTGCGTTGGGGAGTCAACACGTGACCTATTGTCTTTCTCAACATGAGCTGCTGCACCCAAACACCTCAGGCTGGCACAGTGCTGGGGGTTGCCAAGTCCAAGATCAAGGATCCAACGTGGTCTTGCTGTATCCTTGCAGGGTGGAAGGAGCTAAGGAGAGCTAAGGATCTCTGTGGGGTCTTTTAAATTAGAGATTAATGGGATTTGTGAATCCCATTCATAAAGGCTCTACCTTCATGACTTAAGCACCTCCCAAAGGTCCTACCTCCTAGTAAGATCACCTTTGAGGATTTCAACACAGGAATTCCTAACACAACATCATACCACTGCACTCAGCTTTCCTACAGCTAGCTCAAATGAGATCCTTTTTAAAGAACAGCTACCGGGGGGCCTCCCTGGTGGTGCAGGGGTTAAGTCAGCACTATCAAGCTATGGGCTATTGCCAGCTACTGCAGCATGAATTCAATCCCCACCCAGGGAGCTGACCCACATGGCACAGCAGACCTCTCCTGTCTCACCACTGCTCCCCTTAGCAGTGTATTTCAGTAGATCTGCTTGTTCTGCTCCCCACTCTGTCTCTGGTAAATCCTGTCACACACACCCCTCACCTCCGGCCTAAATCCCAGTTTTTGCAGAAGCAGATTTTTATGAATGGTTCACTCTGGATAAATGCCCATCCTGTTGGTTAATCAAAAATGCTTTATTTCTTAATGCTTTCAGTGAGAATTCTCATAGAATAAGTCTGTATTTGTGGGCAAATATTTACCACCATGGCAGACGGCAGAAGTGTACGCTGTGTTAAGAAATCAGTCCTGAGAGCCTGGTGTTGACGGGGGCTGGGGAGGGTGGGGAGACCCATGCCTGGTATTGGAATCTGCTCACCTAGCTCAGGCTGCACGTACGCACCATATGACTAATGATCTGTTTTCTTTAAACTAAAACTTGCTTTGAACTGAGATTCCTGCTCCAATGATGCCCAAATGAGTGCCAGACATTGACGCCATCAGAAATTAACCAAGCAGACCAGGATGTACCAAGGTCAAGAAAACCTGGAGGCTGATAACAAACTCTGGGGGCTGAACATGACGAATACCAGGAACATCAACTGTGAGGACCTGTTTGCTTATGACTGTTTTTGTTTAACTCAATATAAAAAGGCCAACTCGAGATGAGAGGGCAGAACAGTCTCTTCAGGGCACCATGCCCACTGTTCTCTCAGATCGATGGCCAGGGATCTAAAAAATAAGAGTGCTTATAGATTCAACTCCTGTCTCTGTTCATTGGCTTTTGGTAGTGATAAGCATCGGGCCAAGTCCACTGAAGTATGGCCTGGAAATGAATATTCTGTAGATTCTTGGAGGTGGGAGTGAGGGTTTTACGGGGTCGAAAGATAATAGAGTCTTTATTGCCTTCACATGGCTCAGGGGACTTGGTAAAGCTTAGGTTTTACTCAAAGATACTCTTTTCCCCATTGAATCTCCCCACTGTATATCAGCAGAAGCTCCTCAGCCAAGACAATAGGTAGAACCTTCTTCAAACAAACATCCCAAAGAACATCCTAGCACAAACCTTACAGTAGTTTAGATAAAGGTATTTATG